CTCCAAGCTTTTTTTTTTTTTTTTTATTAAAGCAAAAACCTTGTTTGGCGTATTTGGGGGAAAAAAATTCCTCATAAGCACGGCCCGCACGGAGAGGGCCTTGAGCCTTTGCCAAGGCTCCCAGCCCTTCTCGCCACGGCTCTTCCCGGGGGTGCCAGCCCTCCTTCCCCAGGCTTTCCCCTCTCGCTGGCACTGCCAGGAACCTGGGGACACACACCTTTGCAGATGCTCTGGGACTCAGTCTGCCAATCGCTACAGCCGAGTGGGAACATGGGCTGGTGTGCCCATGGCCTCCTCAGAGAGGTTTGGCAATTGGGTTTAATACCCGAGTTTTAGGGTGTCAGGAAACGGTTTGGGTTTCCTCAAGTTAGTTTCCATTACTGCTAATGATTGCTTTCTACTGGATTGCTGTCAGCAGTCAGTAGGGTTATTTCACTTTGGTGTCTCCAAAAGCAGCTGAAAGGCACCAGCTGAAACAGTTCCTGATTTTGTTCTTTTGGCAAAGTGGGACTGTCTAAGGCAGGTAAAACTCGAGCACAGGAGAAACTGTTTCCCTACAGAGTGGCTCATTTAGGCACAGGATCAAGCTCCCTCTGGGGACATAAAGGCCATGACAGACCTCAGAGGGAGAGGAAAAGTGTATTCTTAAATGGGACCCCTGTTTAGAGCTGCACACCTGCAGTAGTGAAGGGGCTGGGGGAGGATGAGAAGTTGAGCAGGTGGCTGATGAACAGAAGGCTGATGCTGGCCACACAGACAGTGTGAACAGGGGTATTCAAAGTCCAAGGGGTGGGTGGGATTTAAGAAACTATCTAGCACCTTCTATCGTGTTCTCTTTTTAATAAAAATTCAGACTATTGCAGTAAAACTGGATGTCAGCATTACTAAACCAAATGTCTTTTTAAAGAATCTACACTGCTTTCTACATGGTCAGCTGAGCTAAGCTGGCAAGCTTCAGTTTCCATTGAGGGGTATTTTGGAGCTCAGACACACTGTTTGGGGAATTGTAAAATTCATCCCATGTAGCATTTTTGTACAACTGATCTTTTAAGATGAAATATAACCCCAATCCTTAAATAGAGTTACTGAAATTGAATATAAATTCAAGCCAAGATAAAACTCCCAACAACTCAATTCTTCAAACTGCATTAATGCCAATTGCTGCTATTTGAGTTTTGTTCTGAGCTACGGTCGTTTGATGCCTTCTCCAGTGACGACAGCGCAGGGATGCAGGTTGAGGTCACCTCCAGGAGGTCTGATGGCTTCAGTGACACAGAATTAGGGACTCTGGGAAAAGGCAAGAGCAGCCCATGCCCATTGACTGATGGGCAGATGTGGAACTTTCAGCTTGCCCAGCTGTGGCTGTGTGCAGGCGGCACAAACAGGAGCCCTCAGTTCCTACACAGCAGAGAAATGCAAAAAGCTTTTCCTCTGAAAGGAAGATAGCTCTTAATTATAGTGGACCTGGAACAAGGATTGCAATGTAGCACCAGCTGTGAGCTTGTAAGTCATACTTTGCCAGCTGAAGGATGAGAGAGCCAAAAGGGGATGATTTGGAGAAACCCCCAACATGAGCTGGCCCACAATTTGCTGATCATATGGAGTTTATATACAGAATTCTGCTGTGATGGATTCTGCCACTGAATTTGCTTTTACCACCAGATGCCTCTAAGGACATCTGCTAATCTGTTCAGAGAAATCTCAAAGCAAGACTGTAATGGGACACAAGGGGGGAGGAAATTGAAAGCTATGCCAAATTGAGGCTCATTCTTCACACCAGGCATCCTGAAATGACTTACAGGTGCCTCGGACAACATTCCTGCAGAATTTTCATGTATTATAGCTATTCACTTTACATAAATGTACCCAAAAGTTGCATTCATACCAAAGCAACACACACACAACAACCCTTTTGATTGAGACACTCAGCTGAGATGCTCCCAACAGTTGAATTATCCCAGGTCTGCCATCCATGGAGGTGTCACAGCTTCCCTGGGCTCCCTGACCTTGCTGCCACCTCTGAGACAAGGGGCCTCATCTCCAAAGCCTGCAAGGACAAGGGAATCATCCTGTGGGAGGTCAGGAATGTGTATGAGGCCTTCCAGGCTCACATGCTTCAGTCTTGAGGACTATTGAATTAAGTTTGACAAGCCAACGGTGATGGTCCAGAGAAGGCAATCAGGAGGTCATGGACATTCCAGTGTGAAGGCAGGTGACAAAAAGATCAGAACAAAAGCAAAAATCCAAAGCCATGAAAGCTGAAGTCAGGCTGATTAATTAATTATTTACAGTCTCAACTCAGCTGGAGGTGTTGAGAAAATCTCAAATCCTTAGAGCATCTGCAGCATTTACCTTTAATGGATGTTCAGATGGGTTCATTTCAGTCTCTTAATTAGTTCACACACCAGCTATGTTAGAACAAGTTAATGCTGTTTCCACAAAGCTCTCAGAGCTCTATGGCCACTCCAAAAAGGTGCTTTTTTAATCCATAACCACCAGTGCACAGTCACAGAATGAACAAACATCACCCCTGCAGCCAGCCAGGAAGCTCTCTCTGAGTTCAGAGGGCTCCTTCAGCAACAGGGCAGAAGCCACCTCTCACTACCCAGACTTCAGTGCCCAGCTCTGCTCACGGGGGTGACAAGGCTGGCACCAGGATCTGGTGCCTCTCCCTGATGCTGATGCTGCTGAAGACTTGCTGGAGCCTGGACTGACTTTGGGATGATGCAGCAGGGAAGGAAAAGGGAGTTGAGCGAATTATGGATGCAAGAAATGTAAACAAACTCCCTGATCATCCCAGCCAGGGTCTTTCTGCATTTCAGGAAAAACAGTTTGATGCATTTGTCTGGCTTGGACACCAGGACCGATGCCACTCACCCTGCCAGCCATCTGCCACATTGCTTTTAGTTCTCCAGGCACACATGGCCAAGAGAACATGCTCCCACACCACTGGCTGCCACACCACCGACTGTCTGCTACCCTCCATTCTGATAAAAAAGCTTTAATACCTGACAGAGGTCAACAGCTTTAACACAGCCCAGGCTGAGTAGGACTTAAACAAACAGCACTTGTCAGTGAGTCAAGAGCTGGATGCTGCCACCAACCTCTGGACCAGGAGGAAGCATTTTCCCCAAAGGCAGAACTATCAGCTCCTCTCCCTTAATCCTGAGGGACATCAGTGGTCTGAAATGGGAACCCACCTGCAGGTACAGAGGGCTTGGACTCCCACACACACCTTGGCTGTAATCATCACTAACTTGTCTTAATTAAGAAATTCTAATGGAAAACAGCAACCAAGAAAACAAAATAATCAACAAAACCCCCACACAGCTTCAAAGTCCAGAGGAATAAAACACAACAAACCCCAACACAGAACAGGTAAAAGGGCGAGACTGTCACTGTACCAGTGACACCATGCACAACGCTTTGATTAAGCCATTGACAAATCTGCTTTAGGGCAGAGAAATTTGGAAACATCAGGCAATCAAACTGTGAAGTCTGTGAAAGAATGTGATTAATGCAAAAATGTGATGAAACTAATGTGCTTGGCTCCAGAATTTCATGGCACACCCTATACAGGAACCAAATCTGATGGCTTCTTGGCGAGCAGTGCCCCTCTGTGTTCCCTGAACACGGTTATCCGTGTCCTCTTTGTTTTCTAGGTCTGATCAGAATCCAAAGCTTTTATTGTAGCTACATTTCTAAGGATGTGTTTCCCAGGATATGTACCCATAAACAGAGACGTGTACATGCATATATACTCTGAATAATTGCGCAGAATTTCACTCTTCCCTCCTGAGACATAAAAGAGCCAAGTGTTATTAAATTTACGGCGAGTTCGTTGTAGTTTTCACATAATTTTCTTGATGCACTGCAGATTTTTTAACAGGCTGCTGTTTCATTTCCTGTTTAATGTTAAGGTACTTGTCCAGTCTCAGCTACACCAACATCCTGGATTTCTGTCTAAATTTACCAGCCCCGGGGGCAAATGTGTCATTTTCTCTATCCTCCTCTGCCCTCCAGCTTTGTGTGGAAAAGGAATACATGGGCCTGCAAAGTTCAGAATGCAACAAAGGACTGCAAACTCAGATTACCAACACTGCAGTCAGCACGAGGCTGATCTTTCATGGATGGCAGAGGCACATCAGGATGCACTCCGTGGCTGAGACCTCCAATTACAGGAGGCTGGGCATGACACCAGCATCCAGGCAGGGCAGGGGGCAGGGACAGAAGCAGACCTGGTATTTGTTAACTCACATTTGGTATTGTGGCTTTTGCAGTTAATTTTCTCTTGGTTATAGACCCACTTTATGTCTAATTTTTCTTTCATTGCAAAAAGAGGTTTGTGTGCACATTGGAATGTGCTCTTCAGGGAAAACATACAATATAACTGTGACGCAAAGGAAAATATTATACACCCAGGCAGATGCAGAGGGGTTCAAAGAACTGCCTGTCTGAGGGCAAACTTCCCCACCACCCTGCACACCTAAGCAGCCTTCCCTTCAGGCTGCACAGTTCAAAACTGTAGGAAATGATGCTCAGCTCAAACCACTCAGTTCCATGGGGCCACCTGTAAGCTACAGCAACCCACTGTGACCTGACAATACCCACCCAAACATGGATGCCCTTGGGGGAATCCACCTGCCAGTACTGCACAAGCTCCTTGCAAGTGAGCAGGTGCCTAAAAACAGCCCTAGAACATGTGAGAACATAGGCACAATTCTTCCCCAGTGTGCAGAGAAGACCTGTCTGGGGACAGTCTGGGCAGCTGTCATACCATGCATCCCAGAAGTGTTTCATATTGGAAAGAAAGTGTGTGCAGCTGCAAGCTGAATTGGATGGACAAATGACTCCTTCACAGGATAGTTACTGGCTGTGAGAGACACTGGACTCTAATATACAGCTAAGAGGCAAAACCAGATACTCACACATCGGTTTGAGCTGCCCGATGAGTTCCTCTTTTGTCCACTTTGCCCATTCCTTCTTGTCGGTGTTTATTGAGCACAGGATGGGGCCGCATGGTTTCCCGCAGTCCTCGATGGCCGGGACGTTCAGGTAGTGCACCAACACAATGTCTGGGTTCTGCAGGGACAGCAGAGCAAGAGTTATGGTGCTGTGGCCAGCACTCTGCATTTAACTTCCTAATTAAAACTGTGACAGCAAGCATCATGATCAGACCCCAGGTTGTACCGCATTTCCCCGAGATAAGAGCTGCTCTTTAAAAGAGGTGGCAAAAGACGGCACCTGACAGTTTGCTCATGGCATCCCCCAGCCTGAGGCTCTCTGCTTGCAACTCCCCTGCTCCACTGGTATCCTCAGTGTGAACCTCTTTTCCAACCCTTACAACACCAAATATTTGCAATAATCCAGTGAACACCACTGACAACCAACACCAGGTGATATGCTTTGGTTTAAGGGACCTTTTGTTTGTTTGAGACAATGCTTCCATCAGTTCTGGTCCACGTCAGTCTTTTTTGAATATACAGAAAAAGAACATCATATATATACATACATCATATACATCCTGAGAACGTCAGGAACAGCCACACTCTCCATACAATGGCAGAAAGCAGGAGGGAAGAGCCAAGACAATATGACCCCAAACATGGGCTCTTTACAGACAAGCCTGTAATTCCTTGTCTTTTGAAGATATTTGCAAACAGGAGAAGGTTGGGACTGGAAAAGCCCTTGGCAGGACAGCTGCAGGAGGACAGAGGTGCTGGCTCCTGCAGGCTGGTCCCACAGCTGACCCCACAGCTGATCCCATGGCTTATCCCACAGCTGAGCCCACAACTGATCCCATGGCTTATCCCACAGCTGATCCCACAACTGATCCCATGGCTTATCCCACAGCTGACCCCACAGCTGATCCCACAGCTGCTCCCATGGCTTATCCCACAGCTGATCCCACAGCTGACCCCACACCTGATCCCACAGCTGATCCCACAACTGATCCCATGGCTTATCCCACAGCTGACCCCACAGCTGATCCCACAACTGATCCCATGGCTTATCCCACAGCTGACCCCACAGCTGATCCCACAACTGATCCCATGGCTTATCCCGCAGCTGACCCCACAGCTGATCCCACAGCTGACCCCACAGCTGATCCCACAGCTGATCCCACAACTGATCCCATGGCTTATCCCGCAGCTGACCCCACAGCTGATCCCACAGCTGGATCCCACAGCTGATCCCACAACTGATCCCATGGCTTATCCCACAGCTGACCCCACAGCTGACCCCACAGCTGATCCCATGGCTTATCCCACAGCTGACCCCACAGCTGATCCCACAGCTGGATCCCACAGCTGATCCCACAGCTGATCCCACTCCCCTCTCCCTTCCTGTGGGACCCTGCTCTGATGCAGTGTGGTGCCGTCCCACTGACACCTGGAGCAGGAGCTGAGCTTTGTGTTGCCACCCTGAGAGTAAATGAATCATCTTAACAACAGCAGCAGCAACAACTCCGCCAGTTCCCCAACAGCGTCCCAGGGAGATTGTTCAATAGATAATAACAAGATTGAGGAGATGATTTCTTTCCCTTAAGTCATTTACTCCTAAGTTCGCAAACTTTAATGACTGCTTTGGAATTATTTATAAAAATAAATAGGATAATGGTGTAATTAAAACTCTAATGTTTCATTAATGCTGTTAGAGCCCTGTTCCGAGGGGGAGCGGGAACACAACCCATCATCCGCTTGCACAGGCTGTGCTGATGGGAGCACTTGCCTATGAAACCAGGGGAGCTGGAGCAGGACACAGACACCTTCACCAAGGAGGGAACTCCTGATGGGCAAAGGCCAGCACTGAAGCCCAGCACTGGGAGCTGCACCTTGAGCAGCCTGGGGCAGGGGCAGGGTGGACTCAGCACTGCTGGGTGCAGGGTGACCATGACCCTCTCGAGCACCCTGCACACAGGGAGCATCCTGCACATCCCCAAGATCAGGGGGGCTGGTCATGTCTGCAGCTCCTCCAGGCTGGCTAAGAAGGTGCTGGCAGTGGGTTAGGGTTAGGGTGACCATGTACACCAACATGAAAAGCAGAAGAGCCCTGCAGAGCATCCCCTCAGTAACCAGATACATCCCCCTGGAGGAGAAACTCTTTTAGGTTAGGAAAATATACAAGCAGGAACTTGCATTTTCCCTCCTCTATGGATAGAACTGCAAGCAGGGGATTGTCAGTGAAGATTCTGTGAGAAAGCAGTATCCAATTCTTGCAGCCTGTGCTAAGAGTTGTACTGCACAGGAAAGAGGCAAAGAAACCTTGTAAGGAGCAGCTAATTATTTTTTTCAGAGCAGTTTTGAGAAGTGCTAAAGCAAAGAAAACTGTTGGCTCTTCTGCTCCCAAGATTCTTCTGGAACAAACAACTGCACCTTTTGTGTTTAATTGTGAGGTGTTTTTGTCAAAACCTTCCTTTTCACAGGGCACATCTGCCCCAGACAGAGACTGCCAGAGGACACAAAACCATCACCTCTCATTCTACAAAGGGGAGCTCTGAAACATCACAGTTCTTGTGCATAATTCAAAGAAGTACAGATAGTAAAAATAATTACCCATACACCCAAATAGTCCCCATCAGCTAATTTAACATAATTAGTGATCTAGATGATTAAGAAATAAAAGGTAATATTCTTCAGAGATTAAATGTAAATACACCTCTTGCTCCCTGGGAAGTTTCAAGGAAGGGAGCAAGGACACAGCACTGGGTGATGTGGCAGCTCTGCAGGTGCTTCTTCTGCCTTCCTCTCAGGTAAGCTGAGCTTTTCAAAGCCTGACAGTGCTGATTTGTCACCAAGCAGGTCAGGATTATGCGGCTTCCTGGCTTTGGTGCAGCCACAAGCAAGTGGACCTCAGCAGTGGACTGGCACTGGAATTTGTACCTTTTATATATAAAAGCATATAAAATAAACACAAACCAAACAGGTTTGTTCTTTATGCCTACATCTAAAAGTTGAATTCAGATTGACAAATCTCATGAATGCAAATCTACTTGGTGAACTGAAATGTTTTGACACAAATGAAGAGAATACATATGTTTTGGAAAACTCATAATTAGCAGCTAATCACTCTTTGTGCTGACCTACCAGGAGAGCAAGAGAGATGTGAAAAAGACTGAAAGAAAAAATACAAATGTAACTTCCACGTAGGAAAGGTGTCAGGACAGTGGACGTGCCAGGGCAGAAGCCATTCACTGGGGTGGCAGGGGGGAACAAGAGGAGCCCTGCACTGGGCTGCAGATGGCTCTGGAAACATTCCTGCTGGAAATCCTCCCTTCATTCCAGTGCCTGGAGCCTCAGCAGTTGCTCTGCTTCCCCCACACCCGAGTTGAAGGCACTGCCATCTGTCCCTGACCTGGACAAGTCTCCTTGGCTTCTCCTGCCTCAGTGTGGCAGAGGAACTTCCTCCACTGCTGCTGAGGGGGAAGCAGGAGATGCTGCAACAAGTGGTTAAACACAAAAAGCTGCTGGTTTTGATGAAGAAAAATGCAACTGCACCATCTGTCTGACTCTTGTTGGAAGCTTCATCAGCACGAAGTGGTCAATAAATCAGACTGGCGTGGTGTTACATTTCTTCCATGGTTTAACCATTAATCTAATGCAGGTTCTCATGAAAAATGAAGGAGAAAAACTATGTGATGGTGAAAGTGTACCCATTATCCAGAAAGTGATAATGGCAGGTAATGGTGCTGCAGCCCTCCATCCCAGTGGCTGGAGTAGCCTGGCAGCCTCCTCTGCCACAACCACACACCATGGAAATTACCTGACTAAAACAGGGAGTGTTTGTTCACCAGTCCATGTGGGGATTTTTCACAGGAGCAGAAACACCAAACTGGAACAGTTCTGGCAGGTGAGGGGGCGTGGGCAGCCAGTGAAAGGCTGCCCAGTGCTGGGGTGAAGGAATGGTCAGTTCCTCCAGAGCTCCACAGTGGCACAGGGGAAACTCTCATTTCACCTTTTGCTTCTTCACTTTCCAGAGTCAGTCCCCTCTGAGGAGAAGTCTCTCTTCTCAGGGAGACTAATCACAAAAACCCTCTGCCTTACCAAAGCATGCTGGTTTGGTTATCTTCTTCTATTTCTTTTTCTTTTAAAAGTAAAATCAAAAGCCATTTCTGGCCAGCTTCCAGCTGCTCTTCAGTTGTTCAGCCAAGGCAATCAGCTCAAGGCAAAATCTGACTGGCAGGGGCTCCCAAATCACCGATGACCACAGCTGAAGATAATTTTCTTTGGAAAAATACCTCTGGGCTGAAAGTTTTGCATTTTTACTCCCTGCTGGAAGGATGATAGGAAGTAAATCATCCTCAGGGGTGATGAGTATCAGTGAATTTAATCTCAGCCAAGGAATTACCCCCAAATGCAGCCACTTGCCCCGGCTGGCTCTGGACATTTGTGCCAGTTCTGTTGTGTCAAACCTGTGAAGCCCTACAGGTGGTGAAAGCAGCCTGTTCCAGCTCTAACAGCTGCACCACAAAGCACAAGGGTAGGAGTGGAGCATGACAGTGGGATGTCATGCTCCTGTGCCCCATCTCTCCCTCTTCACCCCCAAAATTATAACAGGCTTTTACTTTTTTGGCAGCTATTCATTCATGGGGTTTACTTTGAATTTCTCAAACAATCCAAAAGGCTGAAAAGGAAATCTCAGCTTTCTGGGAAGATAATTCACATCTACTGCTGTGGGGTGACAGGGTATCTGACAGATTATCACCCCCCAAAACAGATAATAAAAGAAGGTCCCATAAAAAGATAATACAAAGAGGTTTTTGTGGTTTTGAGGGGCTGCCATTACATGATGCTTCAGTACCCACAGGTAACTCAGGGACAGGTACTGGGAGTGCCTGTGTATCATCTGCATGTTATCTAAAAATCTAACCAGTGAATGAAACTATTCCCAGACACATGGATGATAGAATCTTCTACTATTTATAGCAGTGTCTTTCTGGATGGTTTCCTCTGAATTTTCCAAGGTTTGAGAGCAGAGTCTGAGATACCTGAAGAAAAAGGCACAAATACATAACACAGACACTGAAGTAATGGGTTTTTTTTCAGAGACCAAATGCTAGCTTTGGGCAAGATTATTGGTTT